GATATAAATATTAATGTGGAAGCAAAAAAAATTTCATATGCATACATTTTAGAATCTTTTTTAAAAAGAAAAACAGTAATCATAAAAAAAAATAAATAAACGTACTAAAAATATTGTATTGTTCCATCAATATTCAACAGTTTTTTAAAGAACCGGATAATATAATTCTCACATAATATTATATTTTTATAACAAAATTAGAGGAGTGTTTAATATTTTTTCAGAACCCATACAAAAATGAAGCTATCAAAGATATCAACCATCATCGTCTGCTGCTTTTTATTTTTGACTTGCGTCTCATCTGTGCCAGCACCCCAAGAACCATTTTTCGAACTCCCAGTACAGTTGGTGGGCTTTCCTGTCATCATTGCCGCCGTTAGAATTTCAAATTTCGTGAAAAAATTAGCTTATTCACTAAATCCACGTAAGTAATCTGTGCTACGCAGTATTATCATAAGGTTTTATCGAATAGACGTAAGTCTGTGCGTGCATGTGTGTGTGCATACTGTTTCGAAATAGAGAAATCGACTAGAGTTAACAAATGTCTGATAGACCCCTGTTGTATTTGAATTATAGGTATGGTGACATCTCTTCTTTGTATTTCGTGACAAAACAGTTCTAAAAAATGATTTAATCCTAAAAACAGTTTGTTAATATTGTTTTAACAGTATCTTTTTGTGTTAAGATAGATTCAAAGATTTTTAGAGTACATAAATTGTAGTAGAATGACAAATAATCAACTCTACCAAAGTTATAATTAGTTCTTAAAGTAGATAATAACAATGATTCAAATAATATAAAAGTTTTTCAAGTAAATGGACAAATAGGTAAATATTTAAAATAACTTTTAAATCATAAATCGAACATTTGACAAGTGACTGAGAATAAGTTTTTATGATAATTATGCATCTTTTTCTGGTCAATTCATAGCAATCTTCTTAATAAAAACACCAATTTATTACATGTTTTTGAATATATCAAAACTTTAATTTGAGCTACCATTGTAACTAGCAACGATCGCCGTTCAACGTTTCGCAAGCCGAAAACTGCGGGAGCGATCGCAACACACCTGTTACATTATACGTACGAACAGCAACCTGCGCTTTTGGAGGGGCAAACGAGACTTTCTCCCAAAGGGGCCCCCCCAGTAGACCTAGGCTCTTGCAGCGTGCCAACATTCAGCCTCGAGTTTTTATCAAAGTAGCAGGAGCAGCAGCACCGGCTGGAGCGCGACTTGGCCATTAGCACAGGTGCGAGAGGACACTAGTGGTAGGTATTGGCATTTTGGTCTTTCGATAGCTATGTTTTGAGATACAGACGCTATGTGGATTATTGTGCATGGTACCACGAGCATATGTGTTACGTGTACGTGAGAGATCGACAAGGTTCTGGCGCCTTTGGAACTGCCAAGAGCCAAGTTCACTTTCTGCGGTTATATAAGCGTGTAGTGATCGGCGTGCGGGAAGTCGAAAGTTGCTGATGCCAAGCGTGTTTTAAGTGTACCGTGAGGCATTTCCTCGAGAACTTTTATTATTGTTTTATGATTTACTGTCTTTTTGCAAGGTAATGTTTAGTTTCATTTTTTTTTTTAATACATCTACAAAAAAAATACCTTTCATTTTTTTTACTTCAACTTTTATTTTTTATTGCTTTTCCACGATTAAACAACATAATACTTCATAAATGTATTCAATAAGTGATTTTTCATCTTTGCATTTATTATAATTTATTTTTATAATTACTTGAAAATAAAGTGATTGGGACGATGCTTGTAGCTCATGAAATTTTGGCTTCGTATCAAGCATTGAGTTAGTAGAGAAATATGAAACTGAAAAAATTTGAAGTTCATTTACTGATATAACAGAGAACTTCATATATTTTCATCCCCTGTCATCAGGCACACTTATTTAATCTATTAAAATGACAAAGACAAATGTATGTCCCTTGAACTACATTAAAGTGATTTAATTAGTATGAATGGGAAGCTACCTAGTCTTCAAATGATGAAAAGCTTCACAATTTATTGTTACAAGTGACACTTTCACCTACAAGAAGAATCCTTATCTGTATCGTTTCAAAAGGTCCTCTCATTCGATATTGCTGGCCCAAGTCTTTTACATGATAAGCACTATCATTAATCAAGCTTATTATTATATCGTAGTAAATAAAGTGAGACTTAATAAAATATTATTATTGTGTTTAATTTATAACTTTTTATGGATTTTTACATTTCTGCGTTGAAAATAATACAATTAATACTACTATTAAAATTATTATTCTTAGATTAATTATCAATAGAATGGATTGAAATTG